GTATACATGTATCATGGATATAAGAGAATGCGTGCATGTCAGTACCTGTAGTATTGATAGATGTGTAGGTGTATACATTTATATATATTCACTTAATTGAATACATATTCCATGTCATTATAAAGCTGCCTAAAATACTACATTAACATAAAACTGAAGATTAATTATTTAAAATGTAGGACAACTACAAAGTTAGCAATTAAAAGTTTTTGCTTTACTTGTAAATTTTGTTTTTTTCTTATCTTATGAAGCCCCATATTTTAATCCATTTAGTTCATTCCTATAGGTACATGCTATAGGTAGTTGCAGAAAACAGTTAAACAGAAGCCTAATGAACCAACCTGCAATCTAGGATTTATTACAAAACTTCCTGCAGTTGGATTCATACAGGCCACATACTGGCAATTATGGATCTCCTTTAAACTCAGCTTTGTCCTATCATACCAGTGGCTGTAGTCCAGGTGTTGTCGTATCAGGGTGTGGGGCTGAACCGTACCATACTCGTCGACCTAACAAGAACATAGTTCAAAATACCCTGCTACTAAGTCACTGATATTGTACATGTTTAATCAGGAAATAAATTAACATAACATAATTTTCATCTTAACTAATACGATACACTTGATTCCCAAATTTCATGTTTCGTTTTGTCTTTTTATATTAGAACAAAAAACATATACTAGTGCAGGATATGCAATAATTTCATGTATTTATCATGTATTATTGTAGTTATGTCATAATATCAGCTTAATCCTAAGTTTCAAATGAACAGCTTTTCATCATGCAACATTGTAACTGTGTAAGAGTTTATCAGTTTAGTTCTGTCTTAGTTTCACAAATTCTTACACACATTAATGTAAACATTATTAGAATTGTTAAAGTTAAACTAAATCCTCAGTCACCTCGTGATTAACATTTCCAGGTCAAACCCTGTAACAGAAATTTGCATATATATAAAAAGAACAAATAGCCATTTCCAGTAAAAGAGGAAATAGAGAACTTACCTTTGGCATGTTTACATCGTCAATGAAGTACACAAGACGTCTATTGCCAGGTGGTCCATAATTTCGACCTGCTTTTTTCTCCAATGGTTTCTCTAAAACCTTCTGTAACATTTCTGACGTTGTATAGAAATTGAAGGGTACATTAGCAACCATGAAGTTTTCTGACAACAAAGAAAGTTTCTCACTGATTAATACTGTTTTCCCACATCCAGCACTTCCAACAAGCATCACAGGATGACACTTCTCCATTAAAAGGTCTAGAAAGAAGCGAATTCTGGTAGTTTCTGAGGTGTGAACTAGAGCAGCCTGGATTGCAAAGAATATACATGATTGAGTAAAACGATTATTTTTTGTTAAAGTTTACAACAATGATATACTTAATTATTTTTATACTTCAAAGGCAGTTAATTAAGAAGAAATATCATGATATGGAATGAATAATTCCCCTAAATACTACGCTATATTTATAAGTAAACTTTATAATCCAGTTATAAACTGAGAGAAGTGTTCTTTACATCTCTTATCTGTTTTAAAGCATAAAAAGAAAGAACAGTAATTTCTATATCATAAAAGCAGTTTGATAAAATAATATTAACTTAACTGCAGAACGGACTGTAATTTCTACATTCTCATACATTAACAAAACATCATGGTTACCTGTAAGGGAAGATCGGGATCTAATTCAAACTTCACAACTTTCTCTGCCCATAGTGTGAGTTTTTTTGATTCACGATCTACAAAATAATCAAAGATGGTTCCTTGGGATGGAAACTTCACTGTTTTAAATTCATTGATCCACCATTTTGAAAATTCAACTCGATAATCTACCAGTTGATCTTGAAACATTGCAGCACCAAAAGCCCATATGCAAGCAAAGACAAAATATAATTCATAAACATCTTTTGGACTATCCGGTGGTGTGTTCTCGGGAATCAACAAGCAGTCAAGCAAATAACACAGCATCTATTCACAAATAAATAATGTCCTCTTCGGTAAATCTAGGATTGATAGTGGAAATTCATACATAATTATACTTAAGTTATATATTAAGGAGCTGACGTTTTACATTTTAAATTCTTAGCTTGCATTTATAAATGCAATTTCAAAGTGCAGTTCTGAAATGGTTTACAAAAACTCTCTCCAAAAGAAGAGTCATAAGTAAAGTAATAAAAAACATAAAATACTGAAAATAATTAGTGAATCAATGAAATAAAGGAGTATAAAAGGCAAGTACTACAGGAAATACCACCCTTTATTGTTTGAAAATGTGTTGAAAGCTTACACTGTGATTGGTTGTCATACAACCAAAGGCAAGTACTACAGGAAATACCACCCTTTATTGTTTGAAAATGTGTTGAAAGCTTACACTGTGATTGGTTGTCATACAACCAAAGGCAAGTACTACAGGAAATACCACCCTTTATTGTTTGAAAATGTGTTGAAAGCTTACACTGTGATTGGTTGTCATACAACCAATCAGAAAGTGCCACACCACTATAAAACCTCTAAAAAGTATAGGCAGCCATACTATTCCCAGTAGTAGCGTAAATCTAGCCATGGCTCTCAGGGATGAAGTACGACATAAAAAGCATGTACAACACGAAGTTTTGGATATTCAAAGATGCTCCGTGCAGAAAATACATGCAATAGATATGTAAAGTATCTCTAGGTATGTTCTTTACCAATATATATGTAAAGTATCTCTGGGTATGTTCTTTACCAATAGATATGTAAAGTATCTCTAGGTATGTTCTTTACCAATATATATGTAAAGTATCTCTGGGTATGTTCTTTACCAACAGATATGTAAAGTATCTCTGGGTATGTTCTTTACCAACAGATATGTAAAGTATCTCTGGGTATGTTCTTTACCAAAAGATAGGTAAAGT